TAAGAAATTAACCGTTGTTTGTCGTAGGAACTGAAATCTGATTCTTACGACAAGAAGCTTTCGTGTGAAAGATTCTTTTTCATTTTCCATCGAAAAATGTTCCCATTGCCATTGTTTGTTAGATACAACTGCTCGATAACTTAAAAAGAATAGTAATTGCCTCGCATCCGGATGTTACGAACAGTTGCATTGTGTTGCGGTCTGATATTTCCCGTGCCATGCTTTTACAACTGATACATAATACGTTTCTAAAAGTCGTCACTGGTTCTTACCTTAGTAGAGCAGTTTAAAAAAATCCCTCTATGTCCATCGAATAGCACAAAATAATTCTACGTAATTGGAGATTCATAAAGGTGTTGTAAATACGAACACCTTCGCCCAATATCTACCCAAAATTTTCCGTGCCTTTTGACTGGATGATAGCCGCCAATTTAAAAAGTGAATTGATTATGTCGATGTTATCATAGTGTGCCTTACCGCAGGTGTTTCAATGACAAAAATCTACGGCGAACCAAAAAGGCTAAATTTCGCATAATATCAGTTAAGTAATCTAAACTGAGTTTATTCTCTGACCAAGGGCTTGCTAGGAAAGTTGAATAAAGAAGTCTAAGCACAGCTTCATTAGCTTGCCCTTTATGCGGACATTTAGTTTGACCTTGACAATTAAACGATGATATTAGTTTTTAACGACGCCATATTTACTTTTGTCATCTTCAAGCTAAACACCCTTGAACTTTCAATAGCAAACTTTTTCTTTATCATGAAGATGAAAGCCGTATAAACAAATCTTTTGTAAAGAAATTTCAATGGCGTTGACGATGGGAGCCACGCTGTTACTTGTGCGGAATTAATTAACGGCTGAAATCGATTTAAAACAAAAAAGCTGAGTCTTTTTTCTCAACATTGAACGAGCTTGCGCATAATTTCAAAATTTGAATATGATATTGCCATATGCCACAGTCTATGCAAATAAATTGAATAACAGTATTCACGGCAATAAAAGAAAACATATTATTTATGTATGCCTGTGTCGGTTGAAGTACATGGAGTTGAATCGGAGGGGAAAACCTGAACAAAACTGGATCTGTTTTCGAATCTAATTCCAACTCATGTCACTAAAAATTCACGTCGACATTTTCCTCAAATTTCGGCAAACCCTTGAATTTTAAACTTGTCTATTATTTCATTCATCTCATCAGGCTCTGTTCTATTTGCACAATTCGCCTTACAAAATAAAACTTCTAAGGCTCTGCGTCCACACTAGCTTTTCCGAATATAGTTTCGACTGATTTCACAATAGGCCATCGAAAACTAGCATCTGGAGCTAAATTTCTTTCCGAGGTTCTTTTACCTGGACGCGTTATAACAGAGACTATATTGAAGTGATGATATAATGTTCCTTATCATTCTTTGAAAATACCGTAAAATTCCGAAAATAAGCCCCTCCATGTATAAGCCCCTCCAAATATAAGCCCCCCAAACCGGTAACACAAAAAAACCCCCGTTAAATCGCCCCTCCAAATATGAGCCCCCCAGGGGCTTGTCCTTGGAAAATTGCCCCCAAATACGAAGTAAAACAAAGTAAAAACAGTAAATTTACTTCCAACTATAAGGCTAGCCCTATCGATTTTGAAACGCAAACTTCCCTCCGTAGATAAGCCCCTCCGAATATAAGCCCCTCCAAAAATAAGCCCCTCAAAAAGGGCCTTTGAAAAATATAAGCCCCGGGGCTTATTTTCGGAATTTTACGGTATTTCGTCGTTTCTCATTGACTCAAATCCCACGGCTAATTCTTGATAAACAAGACGAGTTCGTGGCCGCGTGGAATAAGGCGTACTTTGCCGTTTAAGGCCACTTCTCCCTTCCAGATCATTCCATCAGAGACATAGAACTCATTCCGTTAGAACTAATTTATTCAGACAGGGACGGTATCCGTAAGACCCGCGAAGGATTTTGAATATCTAAAGGCAAAACACTTGAACTCTATGGAATGAACAGACGAGATGAAATTTAATCTATCAGATATATATTTTTATGTAACCTCTTTATACAAGTTTTTGCCCATTGTATTCCTCCACCAATCACATTTTATTTTTTTTTATTTTTGTATTATTTTATATACTGTAACCGTTTATTCTGTTCTCACTTGATGATATGAAGACTAGTTTTGTCTAGTCGAAATATTGGGCAAATAAATTTGTAAACCTTAACTGTTCGATCAGTCTTGCCTTCAATTTTAATTGTAGTTCTTAATTCCCGAGTGAATTAAAAAAAAATAGGGTTCGCGGTTATCCGAAGAGTTTCTGAATTTCTGACTAAAACTAAAAGGAAGACTTTTTGAGGAGTATCTGCAAGAAAAATCATCTGCTCATATCCTAGTTATGAAACGATGCTAGAAATAGGCCAAAGTTTTGAAGAAAAGTCTAAGAGAAGGTAAGTTTATTAAAAACTTAGAATAGCAACATTTGAATGAATACATAAAAATTTTTGAATTCGCCTTTTGTATTATGTAAAGGATTGTGCTGATCTCGGAGGATGTTATCCTCCTTGGCCTTCAGCCTTGGTGGACTGAGATCATGAAATGATTCTCCTCGATCTACATAATTCTTCACATCATACTCGGCCTCATCGCGTTCGTCAGAACGTATCCTAATCTTGGCGTTCCTGTGGTACAAAGCCAAAAAGTTTCGAGGTATCGGGAGCGACTGCCGATTAGCCGCCCCTACTGATTTTATCAGGGGCATCTCGGCCGGGAAACTGGACTCCTTTCGACTCGATTTCGTTTCCGTAAGTGACGAACGCGGATCCGTGATCAATGATGACCTCTAGTTCAATAATTGTTAATTAGTCTCTTTAGTTTGCTTTACTGAATTAACTGACTGACTGTTCACCGAGTTTTTAATGCCTTTTGCGTAAGTACATAATACGCTCGCGAGTATTTACATCTTCTGTATATAGGATATAAATATTAACTATACTGACCTTTCTCACTTCATATACAACCTTAAGAAATTTAAATTTAAATACGAAAAAGTAATAATAACAATAATTACTATTACTATTTTTAATCTTAGTATTTAATATTAAGAAATAGATTCTACTTGAGAATAAACTATTTGAAATTGTATCTGTTTGCCGTTGCCGCTACTATATAATTCAAATCTGTATTCGCCTCAATTCCTTTCTCGAATCAGATGAGCAGCTGACATTGTTAAGGCTACAACTTTTCATTATTCGGTCAATTATAAACTGTGTTTGCAGATTCTAACTTATAAGCGAAATTTAAGAAATTTGAGGTGACAGAAATTACGCATTTAGGTATGCAGAAGTGATCTCGGCAATGACAAATCGCTTTTCTTTTTTTTCAAATAATCAATTTGTTAATAGAATAAATGGTTTGACCTAGTTTGCCTTCTAATACACTTTAAACCTATAAAAATAAGCACAAGTGTACCCGTTTTAATACTACGGCCAACATTGTTTAATGAAGCTGCTATTGAACTACTCTTCACCTATAGCCATGTAATCAATATGTTTATTCTCTTAAGTGATCCCCTTACACTTCTCATGGTACTAGTGACGAGAATTTGTTTAATCATCAAGGCATTTATCAGCCTACATCTGCTGGTCCACTTTCGTACATTATCACAGCCTTTTGTTTTATCAAGCAGCGATACTATACGGGGAAATACCAGATACCACATTTATTTATCTTAAGTAGAACGTTTATTCCTCCTTCGTACAAATTCTGAGTGTTAATCATAACTATCAAAAATTTCTCAAATCTGATAGGCCAACAACCGTCCTGATTTCAGCACTAATAGGACAGTGTAATAGGACGCAGTACATGTCAAGCCTAAGTAATTGTACAGTACGCGCCATCGCACGCGCGCACTTAAATGGCTTTTTTTCACTGCCAACAAAAAAATCTCCGAATTTCTTGAGTTTTGATTTAAAAAAGCCTAATATATCACAAAATTTGTTATAGTTATGATTAATTGGTAAAAGAATTTCGTGTCGTCTCCACTCCACTCAGTCCTATTACCATTATTATATATCAAAAGGCGGACTAAGAAATTAAGAAATAATAGGGACCTTAAGCAACAGCGTTTTTGAGCGACGGACGTCAACCGGAAGTGGACTTTTTGTATCACTGGGCAGTGGTTTGTTTGAAACACTAGGGTAAATCGTCTTTTTAAGAGAAAAGAAACTTAGCAATGCAGATTTGTCAGCGTCAAGGCATATAAAAAGGAAGAAAGGCTCACTTCCGGTTGACGTGCGTCGCTCAAAAACGTCTTTGCTTAAGCTTCCTATTGTGACCATTTTCTACCACCTACTGTCACTGCTACCAGTTCGCAAGCTAAGGGTGTTGAATGACTTGTAACTTATTGTTATGAGCTCTTTTACTTATTTAGCGTCCTTTATAGAGCGCATTTGGACGAAATTTGTTCTGATAATTTTCAACTCCTTGTTGCTGAGTTGTATTAGGAGCAATTTATCTGCACGAATGACATACGATTTTTAAGTGGAGATTAACCAAGGCGATAGCTTTATCCTTCATATAGGCCATTGCCGATTTCCAAAAAACCTTCCTTTTCAAATTAAGGCCAACTGGAAAACTTTTCACGTGAAAGAGAGTTTTTTAGGTAATTTAGGTTTCTGGGATCGAAACTGACCACCGACCCCTCCCCTAAGGCAACATTCTGCCTTGAAATAAGTTAGACGTAAGGGTTAATGTTGACTAGGGGAGGGGTAGGTGGTCAATTTCCCTGAAAGCTAAATTGATTTTTTTCCATTATTGACTTAGCCCTTTGTTGGCGAAAACTAAATAAAAATAAAATTAAAATCTATCGCAGGTAAAGGTCAAAACAAAGTGAATTTTCTGTAGACCTCCTAAATGAGCTGACTGAATACTTACTTTTAGTTATACGTATGATTTCTCAGTTTTATGCAATAAATCTCCCTAATAGATAATCTCAGTCCAGGCCTCCCCCCTCTCCTTAAACGCTATAAGGATTGGAAACTAATTCTTTGTACTCTGATGAGCTCATACTTGTGCTTCGCGTTGCAACGAATTGTGGGATATCCAAGTCCTCGGAGCTTCCCCTGTCTTTTAACTTTACATTGCTTTTCATCTGCGCATTTTTCTTCCTCTGGTAATGAGACATTTTACGACACATTGCTAATGACAAAAGGACAACAGTTAAAATCAACACGCTCGGCGCTGCCACGCTGGCCACACGCATTGCAGGCGAAGAAGATGAACACGCACACGATACATTTTTGTTGACCTTTGGGGCTTGCGTGGTATGCAAGGCATATCTTCTTTGATGGAAGTTTGTTACTTCTGAAATAAAATTTCGAAAAAATTAATAAGCAACAAATAAGACGCCCACAAATTCGACTTCAAATATTTTAAGAGGAGAAAACAAGCATGTTTTGATGTTTTTGAGGAAAGAAAAAGCTCCCATAAATTCGCAAACCACATTTACATCTATATGAAGGCTGTTTTTTTCCCTTTTGCAAAATAATTAATTTAGTTTACTGAAAAATGACGATCTTGAATTACTGTCCTTATGTCGTTGTGCCATCACTCGTCTGGCAAATCAACTCACCCAAAATCTTTAGTTTTGTTCTGGTTTGTTTCGTAGTTCCTTCGTTAAACGTTTCTTTATTCGAAATACTTATCGACATTCCAGTCCTAGCAGTATGCAGGATGTTTGTCACATGAAACTAGTTTGGTGGCTTCCCCTCCCACTAGTTTCTTTTGGCTAAGTGGACTGGTGCAGCATCTGGACTAGTAACCTAAAGGTCCGCATAGGTTCGAGTTCAGTTTGGAGTACTCGAGTCACCTGTGTTACTGAGTGGAAAAAGTAACATCTTTCTTATAGAAACACTTACTTCTTAACATGTTTGGCATATTACAGAGCTGTCTATCACAGCACAACATAAAGGAAGACTCCGTGCAGACGCCACTTGAATTTAACTCCTCGCTGCATCCGTACAAAACACTCGACGAAACGTTCCCATCATCCTTGGCTTCTTTGCGTAGTTTGGTGAAACACCTCTGACTTGATTCGCAGACTGCTTGTGGGCACGAAGGTGAATTACAGAAGCATAAAACTCGTGCTAAAAATGTTAAAGAAAACATAAGTTCATGTGAAATACCTTTATACTTTCGTTTTATTTGAATTCAAACATACTGAATTTTTTACTTCTCACGGAGGTTATTTCTAAACACCACACTTTAAGTTCTTGGTGTCGGATTTTAAGAAGCAGGTCTAGATCGCCCAAAATTCGAATTTTATCGATTTCTAAGTTTTTTTTTGTTTATTGTTGTCATAGTGATATCGATTTTACCAAAAACTTCTTTTGACAAACTTCAATTCATAGTCAATCACTGGTGAAAATGTTATAGCGATCGGACGAGGATAAAATCACTTTTAAGGTGAGTGAAAAACATCGGTATGGTCTCCTAAAAACTTTATCGAAAGGACAGACTATCCGGCGGAGGTATACGACACTCCCCGAGGCCCTGGAAACAAATAAAAGAAAGTTTCTTTTTCAGTGCAGTACAAACAAAGCCATTGCCCACCACAATTTTAATAGATAAAAGTAATGTTTGCCGAGTCGAGGATCTTTAATTAATAAAAGAGTATAACTCTTGCAAACTTTAACAAGACCAATACAACTATTATTGACTTTAAATTAAAAGGGCACGCGTATAAACACAAAACGACCAATATGGACAAGAAACAAGTCCGAGTTTTATATCTGTTTATTTCCTGCATCTTAAAGAAATTAGCATCTATTTTGTATTTTGTTCTTTTATCTCTCTAGTCTGCATCGACACAAAAGGTTAATATTTCCCTAGGAGGACAAATTTTAAGTTCAAGTAAACATTAGCAAATGATATGGGTTATGATCAGGAATTTACGTAAAATAGATATTTTTCTTCCTTGTTTTAGGTTTACGAATGAACGTATGGATTTACGGAAAAACAAACCGTACGACTAGTTTACTTGATCAAAAAACGCACATATTTGATGGTGATAACTTTTACGAAAAAATTTTCTTTTTTTATCTGTCGCTCCCTTTAAAAGACGACGAGCATTAGCAAGTTTTTCGGAAAGTTTATGTTCAAAAAGCGGGTATAGAGAGCAAAAAATACACATCATATTTTACGCGAGAGGCAGTGAAAGGAATTGGAATTACGATAGGTGTAGTATTAACACTTAACTGGTCTTTCACAAACGCCACGGTGGTTGTTTTGCGGGTCATTTACAAGTAGAAGTTGTCTATGTAGTTTTGTTATTATGACAACACGGACGGAAAATTAAATGATAGCGCGTTGCTTTTGTTTCCGTCATTGGTATTTTAACCTTACGCATTAACCACTTAAAATTAAACGCAAATTCTCAAAAACGTAACCTGAACTGGGCTACCAGCCACTGAAAGAGGACCTAACGCGGCTGTGGTGATAAAAATAAAGCGGCTGTATTGTACTGAGCTTATATCCCTGTTACACCTGAATTTTTAATTTCCAAAAGCATTTTGCATATCTCTATTTGAATGTACAGGGCTCGGCGCGCGCTTTATAGTAGAGAGTTTTCATCTGGGTTACCTAAATTTCCCGTTAATTGCTTTACTAACCTCGCACAGTGGGGAATATTGCTACGGCGAATACAACCAAAAGGATTCGTCGGCTAGTCTTCTTTGTCTGCATTCTTAAACTTTCAACAATAAACCAACCGCAAACAATTGCTCCCGGCCTGTCTTGTATGCTGCGCGGGGAAAACACAGAGTTTTTTTAAAAAAAAAACAGAAGTGGGCTTTGTTCTCCTGCAAGCTCTCAGTGATTGGCTGACAGAATTTGAATGTGACGCTCCGAACCCGTCGTTCTCTTGTAATCAGTGAATGATAGTAGACGTAAAATATTCAAAGCTTCTTGAAGGAAAATACATTAAATTCGCTCTACTAACCACCAGTGACCTTTGTAGAGCATCAATTTCTGGTCGTTAGAATCGAAGCGGTAGGTAGTGGCCGCTAGAGCTTAAAATGAGAACTGGAGGTTTAAACGCGATGAATCACCTTGGCCGAGTGACCCGGCTGACTGCGACAAAATTTTATTTTTTTACATCAGTAACATAGCCTTTGTGTTTTCCCCGCCCGTCCGGCGCCGTTTCAAAAGAGACTTTTAATGGATGGGTTATTAATATTTCTTTTCAAAATAAGTAAAAAATGTTGAAATTTTCTCGCAGAAACACCTCTGCTTACAAAGTTCCTGCCTTAGACTCAAAGGGGTAGCTTGCTAATTTTGTTCTCTTTGAAAATAATCAAATTCTTGTTTGAAGTAGTTTGGCAGTAAATATTAGAAATCCTTTGTTAAAGCTTTGAGAAAAATTCGAAACGTTTTCATGTGTATTATAACAGAATTTTATCCACCGGTTGCAATTAAGTTAGGGCTTTTTATACGTAAGTAGACACTGAGGCATTCGTTTCGAGAGCAATTTTTACCAAATCCATCGCTTGAAGAAAAAAAACATTACAGCTGTCTAAAAAGGTAGTCATTTCAAAACTTAGTTCGGAAGTACATTGCAAAAAGGAAAAAAATAAAACCTATTCAGGAGTTTCGTTTATGTTGTTATCTGCATACAAAGAGTGCCGCTGTCGCCTGCTTGCTGCCTCAATTGACAAACGCTTGTGATTTAGGCGGGAAATTTGTCGCTTTGGCGCCAATTACGTTAACCGCGCAAAGGCAGAAAAAGTGCTCAAATTAGACGTAAAGAGCCTCTCGAATTTGCCAGCTTGAGTATAATTACCAAGATATTCAGATGACGGTTTTTTATACAAACACCAAAGAGGACTAATTGGGCACTTTTTACACCAAGTGAATGTTTTCCTTTTATCTTTTGATAACTTACAACATCCGTTTGGAGCTTAATTATCACAGTTTTGGCCCTTTTAGCATCTTAAAAGCAGCAATTGCGCCTAGTTCGGGCTAAGTTTATTCAAGAAGACTGCGGATTTTACTTATTTTACAGTTTTGAATTTTGTTGGACATCTGATATAACATTTATGAAGTGTTTCGTATTTATTAAAATACGGATGTAGTTCCAAAAACAGATAGTGTTTACTTAGCAAGAAAACATTAACAAGAAATGCTTGTTTTTCTGTCCCTAATTTTTTCCTTGTTTTCAGTTTTTTTTTATTTAACCTCATTGAAGACTATTGTCTAAAGACAGTTACCTTGTGAACACATCAAGCAATGAAATATGTGCTCATATCAATTGCTAAAACTTGCTTAAACACCGTCGCCCTGTCAATATTTGGCGGAGTTTCTCGATAAGCAATTCAAAAATAGATCTAAGAAAGTACAGATAGAAATTCTTAAATAGCCAAAAAAAGTTCAAAGAAAGCGGCTATTTAAAACTTAAACATCTTCATTACTATTTTGTCATAACTATTTTCGTCTCATGAAAATTTGAATGAAATTCATATTTTATTGTAAAATTACTGCGAATTAAATTAAGCCTATCTACAGACGTTTTTTCTTGCGCTGGCGGTCAGTTTTTGTTTTCATACAGTTTCTGAAGAGAAAATAGAAGGTCTGTGAACAGGCTTTAAATTAACAGTATCATAGTGGATAAATAAATATCACAGGCTAAAATAATGTTACGAGCTGCCTGAAAAACAGTAACTTCTGTTCATTGGAGCGGTCGCACTTCATGCTTTAACTGTGTCAACAACAAAATGCTCAAATCGTATTGGCTCTTAAATGCTATATTTATTTCTTAATTTTGTTATTGCAACACCAAAACTGTCCGATTTGACCTGTCGTATTATACAAGCTTCTAGTAATTTGACATGTCAAATCAGACAGTTAAACAGCCAATGGAAATCAAGTAGAAAATCTTATTAGCCAACCGGAAATTCAAAGAAATAGCCCATGATAACCAATCAAAATCTATGAAAAATAATGAGTTAGCAGGCTTGTAAGCTGAAAGCTGATGATAAACAAGATGTACTATTCTATTACTAGCTTAAGTTTCTCTAACACAGTTTGTTAAAATACCGTAAAATTCCGAAAATAAGCCCAGGCGCTTATATTTTTCAAAGGCTATGTTTTGCAGGGGCTTATATAAGGAGGGAAATTAGCCTTATAGTTGGAAGAAAATTTACCGTTTTGGCCTTGTTTTACTTTGTATTTGAGGGCAATTTCCAAGTACAAGCACCCGGGGGAGCTTATATTTGGAGGGGCGATTTAACGGAGGGTTCTTGTGTTACTAGTTTAGGGGGCTTATATTCGAAATTTTACGGTATTACCACATTTTTAAATGTGCAGGGTTCTGTCTAGGGTATTTGAGGGGTAGAAACTTCCCCCCCAAAAATATTGTTATCATTACGGTATATAAGTAACTATATCGAAAAAATCATCAAGACGCGACGAGGTTAGTGCACACACTGTAACATTTCTCAAAATTGTGTCTCAAAAGACAGGACAAGACAATGTTTTATTTGGAGTCTTATACAGTCCTATGTATATCGACTTTATCCAAATAATTTGCACCAGATTTCATCCGGGGGTGGGGGGGGGGTTTGGGGGGAACCCCTTTAGGAGGCTTGTCGCCTTCGGCCACTCAGGACTTCTCCCCCAAATGATAAATCCTAGATAGAACACTGATGTGGTAATTAAAATTTAAAGAGAAAAATTGTACTTGAAAAAGTTCACGCAGTCGCACCTCCGTATTTCGATTTCAACAAAAATTGTAAGCAGTTAAGGAGAAGCGCTAAACATGGCTCTCTTTTATTCCTCTGTAGTTGCAATTGATCTGGTAGTTTGTAGGGCAAAATGAGTGTTTCTTTCTTGACAAAGGAATCAAGCATAGATTTGACATGGAATCGCTAGCAAGAGAATAGTTTGCTTGAATTGGTGTGTAGGAAATTCGGTATAACAGGTTTTCTTCACGCTCGAACTTTTCCTTGTCAGTTAGTGATAAAAAGTCTACTGCAAAACAGTTTTCTTGGTTAATGTCGTCTCTGTCATTCAGTGGTTGTTTTGCTATGTGACTAACCTCATCTCTTCGTGTTCTGAGCGGGCAACAACCTCCATGAATCAACAAATGTCTTTGAAATGTCCTTAAGTCCCCGAAGTCTTCACTAGGTCTGTTCAAGGCACTGTCCGAAGCAGCTCTCCTGTTAGGACGGCACAGTTTGCAGATGTGTACTTCCTTCAAAAGCACGTTTTCGTCAGGTTTTTGTCTTGATTTCAATGTTGCTTTGTTAGGTTGAGCGTCACAATTAATTGGGGTTCCCGAGCAAGTAAAAGGTCCTCCTTTGATCTCTGATTCCTCCGAATTCATTGCACTACAAGTCTGAACATACTTGTTCTCTTTCATCACGCAGGAACTTCCCATCATGTCGCCCGAAGTCAAGGCTGAGCTTCGTCGGCTCGATCTGAACGTATACCGAGCGGTCAATGCCCGAAAGACCTGCATTTGATTTAAACTAGGTCGAAAAAGGATTATGTAAAGTTTTGGCCCAAATACCAGAGCAAAGATAGCAAAATTGGAAGCTATAATTGCGAAACAGTTTATAATAACATTGTGATAGCCATCTGGAGTTCCATAAAATGCACCAACAAAAGTTAGCCAGATGCAGTTAAATACAAACATAGCAAAACTAATGAACTTTGCCTCGTTGTAATTCTGTGGTAATTTTCTTGACTTAAAGGCTACAAATGTGCAAAGAAGACTTAGAAAAATGATAAAAGCGTTTGAAGCAATGTGTCCAAAATTCGGCACTACATCGCACATCGCTAAGTTTTCACTAATCGTGAGCCGGCGAAGTGTGACCCGCGGTGGACTTGACAGTAGCCATACGAAACAGAGCAAAAGCTCTAGGACGGTGAAAAACAGTGCTAACATTATTTGAGTCCGGTTATACAGGAATAGACCCAGATACCTCCGCAAGAATTTTGATTTTTTCCGTGGAGTAACTTTGCTATATCTAAAAACTACAACAGTTCGATTAATTCTGGCTAATATCATCGATAAAGAGAATGAAAAACTTGCACCAAATAAAATAGCCTGTATCTTACAATTTATGTCTGTTGGCCTTCCGATGTACGCTAAAGGAATTAAAAAACCCGCCAATAAACCAAACAACAGCAAAAAACTTATTTCTCGGTTGGCGGCTTTAACAATAGGAGTTTCCTTGTAACGCAGAAATACAACGACTGTAAAGACACAGAGAGACTCGCAGAGGATTATGGTTCCGATTAGAGACCAGGCCCAAGCACTCTCCCAGCGAAGGAAAATCACGGGAATGACAACGCATTTGGTTTTGTTTCTGTTTGGGATTTTTCCCCATTGGCACTGCGTACATACACCTGATGCGTTGCTCACACTTCCAGCAGGGCACGGCTTACATATCCAGCAACAAACTGGTTTTAAAATTACCTTGTAGGTGCCTGGCGAACATTCTACGCTACAGCGTCCGAACGGGGGTAACTTGGTTCCACCCGGCCAATGGATCGTCTCGTTTTGAAAGTTTAACGATCCTGTTTTGCCATTATATTTACCGACCGTCAAAAAGGTCGTGATTAATCCGTCTTTACGGAAGTTAATTATATCGTAGTGTCCATTTGCGTCACCATCGCTGTCAAATGATACGGTATGGTTCGTCACGCTTTGGAACGTGACGTTAAAAATGTGTGACAGAACCGAAGAAGGCGTGACCCGATTGACGTAAATATCTTTATCATAAATGCCTTCATTGGATTTTGTTGAAAGATTTCTTTCACATATTTCTTTAATGGAATATGCGACCGAGAATACGGCATCAAACACGTAGGACACTCGAGAGAACAATGCATCAGTGTCTTGAAGCACAGAAGAAAGTCGTTCTTTACCGGAACAGTTCTTCATCTGGGAGCTCTTCGCCTTTGGAAGTCTAAAATTTTTCTTGAGGATGTTACAATGAAATATTTTCTCCCAGAATTCACCAAACCAAGGATTGTGACTCTTCGTAGATGGGGTTAATCTGTAAAAGTATTTCATAAAATTTGGTACAACTGTAGGCTGATTTATAATGCGGAGCATGCCGTCGACAATCTCCGCGTGATCTTCGGCAATCTTCGGTGAGTCAGCCCACGAGTCGCTCGCTATCCATAACCTTCGCGAGATGTTTTGCTTGGCAGCTTCGTCAAGTATCATGATAGCTTCCTTTTCCGAAGTGAAGAGCAAAATAACTCCAATATTTTTGTCTTGATGGATTTTACCAACTATTTCTGCAATTTTGCTTTTGGTTGGATTGTAAGGAATCAAAATATCCATTGCTAAACACACTCCAAACTTTTTCACTTCAGCCTTAAAAGTTTCGGCCAAAGGCCTTCCGTAGATATTATCCAAGGCGAGTAACGCAACAAAATTCCACTGAAAATGAGAAACAATCTTCGCAATTGCTAGCCCTTGATGGGAATCCGGTGGAACGGTCCTTAGGAATGTCGGATAAAGCTTCTTGTTGCTCAAAACACGAGACGTCGAGGCATAGCCGATTTGCGGTACCTTAAAGATGCTAAAAATGTTGTTAACTGCAGAGGAAATTTCGCTGTTTCCAGCCCCTATCACCGCTACCGGCTTTCGTGTCAGGTAATGGCTTGTAATATTCTCCATTTGACCGCGGCTGGTTTTCTCGTTTACAAAGTCCAGGGACGCCTTTAGAGCCGTAATGACACTATTGCAAGTGTCGCGAATGTCGTAACCCAGGGTTATACCGTGCGGAAGTAATGTACTGTTGTTGACCACTTCTATGGCGTGTATCATAGCTTCTGTCAGAATGACTCCCTCCTTGAAAGACATACTACAGTTATCTTCTTGGGCGGACTTGTGTATGGGAAAAAGACCTCCTAAATTAACATCTCCCTGTTTTAAAGCTTTCTTTTCTATTGAGCTTGCAGCGCCTTTCAGAAAGAATACCACCATTGCAGTGTACCAAACTGTGCCAAAACTAGCCATTGATCTAACTTCAAAGTTCAGCATTAGGCAAGGAGGAGATCCAGATGTCTTAACTGAATATGATTCGAAGTAAACTCTGAGGATTCTATTAACTAAATCCAAACAAACTTAATTTGAAGTCGACCCATTCTGACAAAATGGCAATCATCTTTTTCAATTCGCCTCACTTTCCAAACATATGGCATATTACACACGTTATTTGTTATTGTTCTGAATTCACTTAACGCGCAACCCCACACTGAAAAAGCAATTACAAAGAACGAATCAGGGAAATTTTTAAGGAGACTCCAAAGTTCATCGCAGTAAGAAGTCAATACGAGGTTGAGTTCATGTTTAAATCAAAAGTTATAAGATTTGGTAAATTAAATCCACGCAGCTGGGTTTCTCAAATTTAATGAGAAACATTCTTAACAAACATCCATGTCAACGATACTTGTAGTTTGTAATTCTGGATATTATCGCTAATATCAAAGGCAAACATAACTTTAGGTGACGCGAGATTTGACTGACTTTAACGCAAAACGTTACTAGATATTAATGAACGCTTCCAAATATTTATTTTTCCAAATATTCTTGGTTCGTTATTGCTATTTACACGTCTGAACGTTTATGACGACTGCTATTTGGCAGAGAATATCATTGACTGACCCGATGAATAGGCTGGCTAGCCATAACAAAAAATTTAAAGCTTAAACTATTCGTCAACGTCATCCGCTCCTGCATCTAAAAAGTCATTGCAAAGCAAATAAAACAATTCCTTTTGATCTTGATACAGAAATTGTATTATGTAATCCTTGGCGAATGAAGGCTACAAACTGTTTTCGAGTAATTTTGAATGCATTATTACTTGGAAAACACATTTGCTCAGACCAGATGGTTTTGAAAACGCTGTTAAATTAAAAGAAGAAATAAAAAGAATTCTCTTCTTCAAAAGAAGCCATGCTACAGAGCAGCGGGGTAGCACGTTGGGGTAAAAATTTTTTAAAATGCCATAAGCGCTGGTTAAAGACAAATGAACACAAAAGTTTAGTATAAGAGTAGACAAAAACATTCACACTGCATTCAACGTCTCCCATATTGAAGCAGAAACCATAACCGGAGCGAGCAACAACCATGAATTTGAGTGACGGTGTTGTCACAGACCAGTTGAAATTTCAAAACGATGTGTTGCAAATTTAATTTATTGGATCAAGCTAGCCAAAAATAATAATAATAATGAAAACGTTCGTATTAATGAGGAACGAGATAAGATGCAGGAGTATAAAGGATCTGCTGATTTTCCTGTCTTCAGTTCTTCTACTTCTACTAACTTGAACATATCGAGCGGAGCTCTGCCAGAGCTGACGAATGAACGGTTCATTTCGTCGGAAAAGTCTAAAACACCAAATAAAACAGGCTAAAACACCATAAAAAGCAGCGTTCAAACCAAAAGTGGGCCGTGTCCAAAAATAATAAGTGCAAAAATAATTAGGCTCCCGGAAAAAGGAACCTTATTCAAGAAATCGAATCGACCATTCTGGTTGATGTATCGAATTTTCAATGATTTAATAAAAAACGAATTGTTTTTCTATTTTTGCTTACTATCTGATGACCATACATTTTGTATCTCCTATAGCCTTCCTTCGAAGCAGAAGACCCTTCATTTCTCGCCAGCGAACACTATCAAGATTTTCACATAATTTTTTCATACTTTTATGTTTCCTTTTTCACTTGAAAGTTTTATGATTTTGGTATGTTGTTTCCGGCGGTAAACTGTATTAAAACAGCGTCTTGCACACTAATGCGTGTTTGCTATAAAAGGTCATAAAATTCGTACAGTCTCATACATTTGTCAACTGAGTCGAAATTAAAACGTTCGGGGGTTTTCGAAAACGTGCTCGAAAGTTGAGTCTTCGGGAAAAGACGGGTGTACGAAAAAAACCCCGAACTTTTCGAAAACACTGAAGTCATGCTTGGCCCAGCTACCTGTCGCCAGATATGTGTTCTGATGTTGGCCAGCAGCCTCAAGTGTCGATGGGAAACTTTTGATAATGCATAATTTTTTATTCTCAGATAAACAGGGCCTAAACGTAAGAGGTCAAAAGACGTAGAAGTAACGATCCCACAGTCTCCTCCTGTGGGAGTCACTCAGATTTTTCACCCTAAGGGTTGATTTCCAGTGTCGCCCAATTTTTATGTGCATACGTGCGTAAAATTTACGTTTGCAAATAAAATAGAGACAACGTATGAAAGGTCGCTCGTAAGCGTAAAAGTTGAAGCTCGCTCAACTTCTCGTTTGAGCTCAGCACTTTTTATCTTGCCTCTATTTATTTTCATGATTAAAATTTACGTGCGTTAATGTAGCCAAAAATGCGTCAGTGGAAATCAACCTTAAGACTGAGCTACCTTAACAAGGATGGTGTGAGAGGTGATAACAGAGGAAGGATGGTAAAATGCCATACAAAAGCTATTGAGCAATATGAAAGACCTAGTATAGGAAAGTTGAAAAGGATTCGGGTCGTTGAAGCAAAATGACACGCGTCACGCGGCGGCCATTTTGTCTCAGGAGATTTAAAAAGCTTTGTTTAGGCACGGCTAGCCTCGTAGAGAGAACGACGATATTTCAAGTTACCAAATGTTCAAATGAACGGAAAAACCTCATAACAACTCCTCTGTTAAGACCGTAAGCTAAATCGCTGGATGCCGGCAAGTGTACAGGCAAAATATCGCATGAGTAACCCCGTGTTCTTATACAATTCATATCCATAAACACGAAAACACGCTTGGGGATTTGTTACAAGAAAACAAGTCCGGTAATCCCCTATTTTTATTGCTTTAACATTTTGTTAGAGTAAAAAGGAAACGTCAAAGAAAATATTACAAAATATATACGGAAGGGAAATTTGCACTGGGCACAAATGTCACTTTTACAAAAATTCCGCCCCGTAGAATATTTTAAAATCACTGTTTCCCTTTTCTTATGCTAAAAGCTATCGTCTAAAAAAGGTAGGGGTCACTGGTTTAATCAGTTCTGGAAGCTGAAAATTAGGTTTAAATAATCCGTAAGATATGTTACCATGGTTACTACTAATGACTAAATAACAGTTCCTTTTTTAATGAGTTCAAGCATTCTTTGTATAATCCAGACTTAAAAAAGTGCTGCTTTAGCTTTGGCTCACTTTTTCTTCCCACCCCGTGTCAAAAAAGGGAAAAACTGGTACGAGCCACCTTACACATAAAATTTACGGTTTGAAAAAATACGACAGACGTGATTAATTGCAAACAATATACCTTTATTTTGAACCAAAATATTAGCCTTAAAACATCATGAAAAGAGGAGTTTTACAGTGATTTCAATGTTGTCTGTGGAGAAATAAACTCGGATTGTTACCAAGATACCGAGGCCATAGGCAGCTGCATTCTACAGGAACACTCTTGATTTGAGCTATTCGACCTCGCAAGCAACCATTTGTCTCTCGTTTGGCCGGATCAAAAACCATAAAATACTTTCTGGTCTTAGTCTCCTGGCAGTCCATAATGTTCAGACAGTGTCGATCCCTGGCGAGGTGAGATGGAACCGTGATGTTGAGGCACTTTACTGTTTTGAAGGTTGAGGGTATGATAACAGCACTTTGTGAGAAACGGTCTTTGAAGAAGTCTTTGGATTGGAGGCGAATCACTTCAACCGGACACAATCTGTCGTGATCGAGGGAGCGCCGTTTTACGTGGTTCGTGTGAAGTGGAAGTTTTGTCATTCTACTCACATCTAAAAGTAAGGGAGAGGCTATAAGAATTCTCAATTGAATTTTCGATCAGAGACCAACAATCTGTAATATTTAAAGTGCGTGTCTCGGCGTAACATGATATCGTTTTGCTTGAGAAACAAGTACACACTTAGGTGAAAAGAAATTGGTGGAAACGCTTCAGTTAACAGCATAGCAGTTATTTTTGGTAAAAAAAAACTGCTGAGGAACGAACCTCAAAATTAAGGAACTTAAACTCATATATCCTAGGCTTTTGTTTCTTGGTTTATTTGAATGTAAAGAAATTTCTTTTAGTTATAAGTCATCCACTGACAGAAGAGGTTAGGCCGTGCGTGACAAAATATTGAAAGAATCTATAATCTCACAGATGTACAGTCAGGAGAGTAGCCTTGCTTTTTTCCACTAGATCGACCATTAGAATGGATAGAACCTTTGTCTTGTACGTTGACCCTTTCTATGTGTTTACAAGATATTTTATTAGCAGAAACCAATAAATTCAGAGGTCCTTTACCTTTAACAGTCCGTCAACAGCATTCTGCGCCCGACTCCGTCAAGACAACTGACCCACAGAAACCTCAAGTTAAGGGCTTACCGTAAGCATTTTCTCAACTCAGGGCCTCAAGTGAGGGACTCCTCTGGCCGGAGGACACTTTAGAAATTTTCGGGTGGGTGGGTGGGACCCTGGACTCCCTAGCCTATACCAGACCTATTTCAGATGAATTTTGCTTCCCTTTACTAGACTAAACCGATTAAACGTTTCTGAGAAACTGCCCACATACCCCTCCCCTAAGTTAACATTAACACTTACTAATCCATCCCTATCCTAGGGTCGCCATTTTCCAGAAATTAATGAGGTCGATGCTCTCTTTGTTATTAGCTGAGATGGGGGGTAAATATAGACACGTCAAGTTCATTATTTTTTTTTAGACTCTTTAACCAATTGATCAGTTCCTGGAAAATAATACTGTATACTGGACCCAGATTCTCTTGTTTCTTTATCCTATCCCAGATTAAACTACTTGAAAACTATACCTTTCAGAGCGGCAGATACATATAGAGCCCATATATGGCAGTACCCACCAAGGCATACCCTGGAGGAAAGACGCCCCTTCCTAGACTTCCGCATGACTGGTTTGTGGATCGTCACTTAAGTGTTAGAGAGATTTATGAAAATCCTAAAATGCGTGCCACTAATTCATTCTCAGATTCTCTGAAAAGTTTTAACGGCAACGAGATCTCTCTCATTGAGAGTGAGCGGACGAAGATCGGTCTTTTATTGCAAGATCTATTTAAGTGACCATCTTCGTTGCTAGGATGAAATGTTTAGTATCGATATTTTTGGAGAAAAATCATTGGCCCTTGGAACGCTAACTAATCAATATGAATTATTAGATCCAATAAAACAAGAGAAAGCGGGCAATCCTACTAAGAGAGAAGAAAAACAACGACAACAACTTACCAAAGTCGCTCATGTCAACTTCATCAATTATCATATCTTGAAATGGTTGTAATTGTTCAGCCACCGGAACACTGAAAGAGACTGGGTACAAGAGTATAGAAGCCAGCCACGCGAGGAGAAATATCGTCATCTGAAAAAGTGCAACGACAAAGAGCTTATTACAGTTTGCAAATTTCTCTTTTTTTTTGGAGGGGAATCACTTCAAGATGGAGACTGCAAAACTGGACATTTAATGGCGTCTGTGCGAAGAATAAATCGCAAAACAGTCTCGAATTCTGGATTTAAGGTACTGGATTCAGGTTTCTTTGTCAGTGGAACTTGGATTCCGGACTCTATAATTTGAGGGATTCCGGATTCCTTGAGCTGTATTCCGGAGTTCAAAGCCCAGGATTCCTGATTCTGCAAGCACCAACGAGCAAAAATGTCCCGAAGTCTGGAATCCCGATTCCCTTACACGACCCACTAGAGAAGATTAGCGGGTAGCGGGTAAGGCTGTCGTTTAAATTTACCCTTCTCACCTTTCAATTTTTCTCGTGTATCGTGCTCGTGCTGTTCAACTTTAGAACAGATGGAATCAAAGCGGTCTGGCTTACGGAAGGTTGTTTGACACCATCAGGCTCTTCACGAATGTTTCAGAAAGGAAACATGAACTTCCTAGTTTTGTTTGTCGCAGTTTTTTGAGGAGTTTGTTAATAACACCCACAAGAACCTTCCGTAAGCAAGAGTACGCCCTCGACTTTGGATCAAGTTTAATATCCGCTTACCGTAAATAACCGAATAAACGCGCGGGGCGTCTATTTAATTTTAGGGGTCCAAGACTGGAGGCGTTTTATGGTTGTTAATAGATAGGAGGCATTTAAACGAGAGAGGCGTTTATTGTCATAACTGTAACAAGCTCGAAAAAGTTAATGTGCTTTCGGCAAAAATATCAAGAGAGTTTAAAAATAACGGAATATCCAATCCACCGATTGATACGTCTAGGCCGTCTAGAGGTCCATATCGCTCTTTGAAATCCCAACATTGATGTCAAAATCCTTGCTCAGGGTTATTGTTTTGCCACCGTTAGTCTATCCTTACTTTAAACTTGGCAGATGACATACGCAAAGCCTTGTTAATCAATCAAGAAACTGAAAGAATTGAATGATTTTACTCCTTTTGCTTATTCCTAGTATTTTGGAGTAATTCTCAGAGGGGGCGTTTATTAGAGGGGGGCGTCTAATACAATTCAAACAGCGTAGAGGGGGGCGTTCATTAGGTCATTTACAGCACTTATAATAACAATTGGTGCGAAGATGTCGTTCTGTCATAAAAAAAGGTCCAAAACGTTTACACTTTATTAAAAACCAACGCACTCAGTATTATTATTAACAGTGTGCTTTATAATTTCTGTGTTGTTTTTTACTTCTATCGCAAATTTAAAGTTCTCCGATTTGGAAAACAACGGATATCCGGTTGATTAATGAAATGTTCACCATTTAGGCGCTCATCCCAAAGACCACTGGCCTGGAATTTCAATAAACCTTAATTTTTTAACACAGTCTCTTGCAACCGCTGGTTGATAGCGTTTACTGATCTTAATAAATGGTTTCCAAAGCATGCAGCTCGTATTTGATTTACTCCATAGACCGTTTTCATAATCACGCTACATCGTATTATACGACGGTTCATTATAACTAAGCATGGGCAAGTACAATTTACCATATCGTAAATATACATATTTTTCACTCAGTGTTCTTGTCGCAACGGTCAGTTCACGGTCTTTCTTCTCACAATTCACGATTTTTACTTACATTTACTCATCACTACTTTGTCCGTTGTGGTTTTGCCTTTATTTGTGTTGTACGGTTCATTAAGACCCGAAAAATGAAAAACCTGGCGACGATTTTGTGACGATGAGTTAAAACAAAGTTTTAAAGAGACGAGGTTTTACACATTTAGCTGGCTTACGTCATTAGATTTCCAATGTTTAGGTTATAAATAAGGAAGCCGATCGCCTTCGGAGAAAAGGCAGCAATCAATAAACCACTTCGACAAGTTTTGTGAGGACAAAAGGAATAGCACATAATAAAGAGGTTTCCACAAGAAGGAACTTAACATTTAATTCAATGGTAACAATACAATCAAACCTCGTTAATACGGACACTGACTGAAGGGCCATAGAAAGTGCCCGTATGCGGGTCATGTTGTTAAAGTCAAAAAAACACCTTTAATTGGAACAAAATACTAAAGAAATATACGAGGACATTAGCATCGTCAAATTAAACATCTGTAATCTTCTCAAAGCCGTCATTCGACGGAAAAATCCACGGAAATACTTTAAAATCGCTCAGCTACATTCTACATTAAAAAAAACCGTTGTCTTCATAACTCGTTTGATGCTAAAATAGTCTGAAATTGGCGTCTGCAAATCATATGTAACCTACGTGTAGCCGCACCCTCCCCTCTCTCCATTTTTCCTTCGTTGGGGGAGGGGTGCGGCTACACGTAGGCTAGTGTAATGTAGCACTGGGAACATCGTCAGGATGTCAACTAAAGGTTTTTTCTATCTTCAGAAAGGAAAGGTCTGTTACAGAACATAGTTGACCTAAGTGTCCGCATTAGCAAGGTTTTGCATTCTATGATAATTTGTGGACAGGGCAAGAAAAATGTGTCCGTTGTCCGCATTGACGGGTGTCCGTACTAAGCGGGTTGCATAAATTTAGAGAAAATTTGATGGCTTTCTTTAGGGACAAAGAAAACTGTCCGTAATAACGAGGTGTCACGGCGTGTTAAGCGGGTGTCCGTAAAGCAGCGTTCGACTGTGAAGGATTTCACCTACAGACTTTAAAGCTACATAACAAGTAATGCTCAGTAGCCCTTCACTTCAGTGGTCACATTTCAGGAATTTTGTTAACCTGCGTAACAAGCGATTCCGTGCGGTTTAAGGAGCAAAGAACGAGGAACGATGGTCAAAGACCGCGAGAAAAATAGCGCTCGCGCGGCCAAAACCGAAAATCCCGTTCCTTGGTCTGCTTTCTTTGCTCAAGAGAGAACGGTCATTCTCTCTTGCTTTGCTCCAGACTTGAATGTACAACAACTTTCTACAGCCCTTATTAAAAACTTGCAGTATCACGGGGGGATGCTTCAATTTATAAGCTCACTTCACACTGACCTCGGGAACCACAGGCTGAGTGTAAAACGTTAGATCCAAAAAGTTCGGTATAATTCAGCGATCACCACAGAAAAAAGGTCAAAAAACGACCATTTATAATCACTGGAAAAAAGACCAAATAATGCTTTAAATAATTTTGTTTGATAGTTAGGAACATAATGGCCAATGGCCAAACAGATGTCTTTTTTGTAATAATTATAAACCATCAACGATAAGATGAAGTCATTTTTCTGAAGAGAAGGAAGATTTACTTGCATTTTTTAAATATTTAAACATTATATGTTGACGAAGTTTGCCCTTAGAGTAAAAAACTCCTCAAGAGGGCTCACTTCCAAAAAATTTCATACTCGTAATTCATATCTTCAAAAATGAAACCTTTTGCGAAGAAAAACTTTCTTCTTCTTTATTTTCCTCTTTTTCTTTCAAGAAACATGTATATATTCAGTTGTGGTTTACTTTAATTCCATGATCCTTATATAGTCGTTTATCGGAGACTGCCAGACTGACTAAGACTTCTCTGTTAAGATAAGAAAAGAGAGTTTTTACTACCATTACTACCTACCTTCAGAAAGCAACAGAAGCAAGAGCACTCAGGATTGTTATCTACCACTTTGATTTTCAAGAAAATAGAGCATCGTTAAATAACGCAAACGATCCTTCTGCTGACTATTCTCTTTAGGTGGCTTGCATCACGAAAAATGGCCTTAATTATTTTCCGGCCTCTTTTGTTTTAGTGAGGAAAAACAATGATCCTTGGTACCTTTTGATAATCAGTGAGTGTAGGAAGCTTTGCTGGAGTCTTTTTCTAAAGCGTTACCGCCCTTCGGCAGCTGCAGTGCCAGTCAACCTCCGCAAAAGTGCTTTTCAATGATGAAGGTTTGTAAAGTCGGAAAACTGAAACTTTGAATTTAAAATTTTGTTTTCAAATGCTGAACGTTTTACATTTGGTGCATAAATCATAGCATTTTGAAAGCAAAAAGGCTAAACAACAGTACCCATGTTGTTATAATATTATTATCAGTCTCGGTAAAGGTTGGCCGTGCGTGTGATGAGCTTAGTCTTTATATTTGAGACTTTCTATTTAACAACGTCCGGAAAATTAAAACCACCCAAAAAAATTGTTAACGTGATATAACTATACAAGCAGTTATGCAATTGCCTTTATCTGAACCTTAAATACGAGTCCATTGTCGAACGAGACCTCAATCAGATGCAAAACAGGTTACAAACTAGACTAGTGATACGCAACTTGATTCGGAGCGCATTGTACTCGTTCAAATTGGAGTATTCCCTAGTAGATAAAAGAATAAATGGCAAACGCCTGAATTAAATAAACATTTGTAAAACAAATATCCGTTAATCAGTTCATTACTATTTTTTTGAACAGCTTTCTTACTCCATGGAACTTAGGGTTAAATTGAATGTCGCGCGCAAAACCTGGACTTTCGATTTTGTGATGAAGAGTCTTCGGCTATTGAAAATGTTGTTAGCTTTAGAGGTTATTTTCGATCCCTTTTTCTCCTTTTTCCGTGATATGTTTTAAAGAATTATTGGATCTTGCCATGGGAGACATTCTTATTGATATTTCAAGATCCCAATTTGTTAACCAAATATTCAGTACAACATATAGATAAGATCTTTTCCAAAAGAGAAAAATAGTCTTAGTTTTTTGCATCCGCACCAAAATAAATTATGGAAAGGTACACTCTCTAGCCTGCGAGCAAACACTCCATTCGGGGATATCGTGAAAAGTATACCCTCGAGAGGCACACGAGAGGAGACGCGAAAGCAGGGGGCGGGGAAAAGACTCTTTCCTCGGCCCCTCGCTGCTCGCTTCGCTCGCCCAAGTAGGAGAGAGAGATTGCTCGCAGGCTATACACTCTCTTTCAAATTTACAGTTATGGACTCCTCTGTGATGGCTGGTTTTGCATCACTGACAAAATAGTTCAAATTCATATAAACAGTGTTTCTTCCGTAAC